ACAGTGGCTTTGCATTCCATTTTAAGTAGTAAAATATTAACTCTAAGTAGACTAGGAAAACTTCAGTATGCATATTGTGATCCCTGGAGCTACCATTAAAGAGTGAGATCGTAGTCCTGGCTGGTGTGGCTCAGCAGATTGGGTGTTGGCCTGCGAACTGAAAGGTTGCCGGTTTGGTTCCCAGTCAGGACACATGCCTGGGTTGGTGGCCAGGTCCCTGGTTGGGGGGTGTGCGAGAGGCAACGAATCTATGTTTTTCTTGCACATCAATGTTTCTCCCTCTCTTTCTCCCTCCCATCCACTCTCTCTAAAATAAATAAAGAAAATCTTTAAAATAAAATTTCAGCTTGAAGGAACACTGCCATCAGCTGGCCTGAGTTCGAGTTCTGGCTATGCCACTTACCAGCTGGCTGTCCTCCATGGTTTGCCTAAGCACCCTGAAATTTGGGTTCTTCGTTTGCAAAAGGGACAGTGGCACCTAAGAAGAATGCTTAGGAATGACTTGATAGGCTGGCGCCCAGAGGACAGCCCATGGACTGCCTGGCACCCAGCAAGGCCTGGGCACATTCAGAGTATTTTTGCTGCTATGATTTCCCCACTCACTGGATCCATTTGAGCAGAGCCCCAGACAAGTTACTCAACTTCTGCAGGTAATGCATTCCCAGAAATGTGTTTGAAGCTGATTTCGCAAAATGCAAACAGCAGATTTCTGTGTGGTAAAGGACTTCTGTTTATTAACAACTGAGGACTACACGAATTATGAAACCCCAAATTCCTTCTCCCCAGTTAAGTGTCATTGCCCAAGATATACTTCCAGGGTTTCACACACGTTGTTTATTTTTTTAATTAATGTTTGAATGATAGATATTTAACACTTTAAAGAGTTTTTGAATTTTTAAAAAGATTTTATTTATTTATCTTTAGAGGGGAAGGGAAGGAGAGAAATATCAATGTATTGTTGCTTCTCTTGGGTACCCTGCTGGGAACAGCCTGCAACCCAGGCATGTGCCCTGACTGGGAATCGAACCGCGATCCTTTGATTCCAGGCCCTCTGAGGAAGGTCAGTGGGTTGAGCCCACTGACCTACAGCTGCCAGGGCCACATAATGTTGTTCGAAAAAATAACTGGACTGCCCTGACTCAGTTGATTATACACCAGAAGGCCTGCTCCCTGGTCTGGGCATATGCCTGGGTTGTGGATTCAATCCTCAGTCGGAGTGCATATGGGAGGCAACCAATTGATATTTCTCTCTCACATCCATCTCTCTCTCTCTCCCCTTCCCTCTCTCTCTCTCTCTCTTTCTCTCCCTTCCTCTCTCTCTAAAATCAATGTTAAAAGACTGAATTTATCTTACTGTGTATATTTTGTTTCTAATTACAAAAGTGATGAAAGTTTGTTGCCCAAAATAATTCAGTTGCTAGAGAAATATGCCATGTGGAAAGTAAAGGTGCTATGGAGATCCTCATACGGAAGTGCCCACAGATGGTGTTTGTGTGCCCGGGGAGGGACAGCGCCCCCAGTGTCAGCAAGGTCCCGATGCCAAAGCCTCAGAATCCGGGAAATGAAAGAAATGGTTCATTCAGCATGCTTAATACCTTAGTAAGCCTTTCCAAGTTGCCCTCTCCAAAGGTTCTAACAAGGGACGCCCTCTCCAACAGTTTTGAGATTTCCCTACTTCCAGCTCTGGGCATTCCCAAATGTCTTCATTTGGTTAAACTGAGGGGGAAATTTGACTAGATTGCAAAAAGCATGCACATGCTTCAACTGTGTCCACTTCCTCTATAATTGAACATATGGTCACCACCTTAAACCTCAAAGGGCCCAGCTGAAGGTCAAGATTTGTGGCTTTTGGCCCAAGCTTCACTTGCCTCCACTATCCCCTCTTCTCCCTGAGCCCAGTCATATTGACCCTCCACTTCCTGCAATGGACCAAGCCCTTCCCCACCTCAGGACCTTTGCACATGCTGTTCCCTCTGCCCTGAACCTCTTCACTTAGATAACTCCCATTCATCCCATGAGCACATTCTTGCAATTGGAAAAAGAAAAAACCCTGTTCTCCCATTTATAATACTACTACCCACTTCATAGGGTTGCTATGAGGACCAAGTATATTTTAAAAACACTTAACACAGTGTTTCAAAATGTGTTAGGATTCAGCTCAAGAGGCACCTTCCCAATGAAGTCCTCCCTGACCACCCTAACCAGGTCAGGTTCCCGTGTGTTATCCTTTCTCATGGTTCTCTCCCTTGGGAAGGCGGGGTGGGGGAGGGGGAGCGGAATATACCATAAATATAATTAAATAATTACCTGCAATATCATCTGCTTCATGTTTCTCTTTCCATTAAGACTCTGACTCTGGAAGGGCTGCCCAGCACCGTGCCTGCGCCATCGGAAGCACCTGAGACATAAACATCTGTCAAATTAATGAATGGATCGAATGAGCTCCAATTTAACTCATCATGTTATCAGCACATCCATTTTCTGCCTTTCCACACCTTTTTATAAAGACAAAGGATAAAATGCAGTAATGCTCACACCACTGCACAGCCAGCCACATCTAGCCCTCCCCCCACCAAAAAAAAATCTCAAGCAACTGTTGCTGGGTAGGCAGCGCCCCCATGTGATCGTTGGAAATGTTCGCTTTTCCATTAATGTACACTGCTAACATTCAATCCTCTGGTCAGATATTCTGTTTGTCCTTCCAGATCAATCCCCCACTTCTCCCCCCAACTCCGTGCCCTGAGAGGCTGACTGCATGACCGGCCCCCAGCTCTCCTTGCCTTCTGGTGCAGCCACTGAGAGGCTCCGGCAGAAGATGGGAACGTGGGAGGAGAGCGGCAGGGTCTTCATTCTCCCATGCTTGGTCACAGGCTGGATCCAGTGACTCAGTTTTAAAGTTCAGAAGGAGGCAGAAGTGATACAATGTGACTCTCCAGGGTAGGTCATGAAAAGATACAACTTCCACCTGGCTTTCCTGCTCTTGAATCACTTGCTCTGAGGAAGCCTTCTGCCAAGATGGGAGTATACTCAGGCATCTCAAGGAAACAGAAATTGAGGCATTCCACCAACCAGCACCCACCTACCGGCCCTGTGAGTGAGCCATGCGGGAAGCAGATCACTTGGCCCCAATTAGACCCTCAGGCGACTGCAGCCCCCATAGACATCTCGACAGCAACCCCGAGACCCTGAGCCAGAAAAGCCCAGCGAAGCCACTCCTGGCTTCCTGACCCATAAAAACTATATGAAATAAGTTTGGGGATAACTCGTTATGCAGCGATAGAGCACCACTACAACTGCTGACCACAGTTCCACGCTCCCACCTCGGGGGCCCTTGGCACTTACTGCTCTGTCTGGGACTCTTTTCACCCACCTCCTTCAGGTCTACCCTCAGAGGTCACTTCCCATCGCCTCCTCTGATGTCCCTTTTTTCCATCTCCCTACCTCAGTTCGTGTTTCTTCTAGCACTTATTTTCTGTGTGTGTTTGTGTATGTGTGTGTTTATATATATATAATTTCTTGTCTGTCTCCCCTACTAGAATACCAGCTCTCCAAGGACAGGGGTCCTAGTTTTGTTCCCTGCTCTATCCACAGTCCCTGGAACAGTGCCTGGCACAGAGTGAGCCCTCAGTACCATGGCCACTATTAGGAGAATCTAGCGGTCCTGCTTCTTGCCATAGCTGGATCAGTCTCCTACTTGTCTCCTGCCCATTCTGTGCCCACCCTGGCCAGGGGATGGGACACAGCTGTGACCTCCCCTTCCACTGCAAAAGGAGTAATTGGCAACTATAAGGGGAAAGCCCTCCACATCTCCCCACTTCCCTGAAGACAAAATCCCAGGCCCTCTGTGCAGCCTCCAGGCCCCCATCCCTACCGGGAAGAGCCAGGAACTGTTTGCACTCCCTGATAGAGTCGTCTCCGCACACACACACAAAGCTTTGCGAGTCAAGTAGAAAACATTACAACACCTATTTTTTAAATCTCCATTTTTTGTTTGCTAAAGAATATATTTAATAGATATGTTATTATAAAATAATCTACAGAGAATCTGTTGGTATAACTGTATTCGTATGTCATTTATAAAGGAATATCCATCTGGGGTAGAGCTTCAACGTTTTTACTGATAAGGGTGCACAACTGGAAAAAGATATTGAGTCATTTGTTCTAATGTAATTATGCCCCCCAGAGGACATCTGGCAACGTCCGGAAACGTTTCCAGTTGTCAACCACTGGGGGAGGGGTGCCACTGGCATCTAGAGGGCGGACAGCAAGGATGTTGCTCAGCGTCCTACAGCGCACGGCGCAAAGAACACTCCAACCCAAAATATCCGCAGTGAAGGTTGAGAAGCCCTGGCCCAAAGCACCAGACTCTCTCTTGATTCTGGAGTCTTTGCACCAACTGCTTCCTCCTCCCCACTCTATCATTAGCCTGGCTAAAACCTCAAACTTCAAGCCGTCACCTCCTCCAAGAGGCCATCCTTCCTGCCTATGAGCTGGGTCAGGGCCCCTTCTAAGGACCCCTCCAGCCCCCAGTGCCGACTGGGTTAGAATCGCCTTGCTGTGTTTTCACAGGCACCTCCCCAAGCCCCAATGCCTGTCCCTTCGGACTGGCAGCGCTGGATGGCCCAGTGACTAGTTCGCCTCCTAGTTTGCATGCCAGGCGCCACTAAACGTTCTACCCGGGGTCTCGAATCCTGGCAAACACCCACGCAGGCACACAAACCCACACACACACCTAGAGTGTAGTCACTCTTATCCACCCCATTTTACAGAGGGGTATACTGAGGTTCAGAGAAGGAATTTGGCAAGATAAAAGACTCAGAGAGAGGTAGGGGCGCTGGTCCTAATTGGCGCCTGATTCCTGGGGGACAGGACACTAGCTTGCGGGGGCGGCAGCGCGGAGACTCTCCTTGGCCTTTCCATCAGCCCCGCCCCCACGAGGACGTGAAGACGCGGACCCCGCGCAGCGTTGGGACATGTGACCGACTGCAGAGGCCGCACCGCCTCCCCCACCCAAGGTCCGCGCGCTCCGCTGCGGGGTGCAGACCCCAGGAGCCCTCCCGGGGTTGGGGCGCAAGAGCGGAGGCGGGGCCAGGGCGGAGCCGGCACACAGCCCACTACCCACCCACCGAAAGCGAAAGCAGAGGAGGCCAGGAAGGAAAGGCGGAGCTGGCCCGGAGCCCCGCCCCCTGCCTTGCGCGCTGCCAGACCGCCGGGCGCGCCCAAGTACGGGGGGCGCCGAGCGCGCAGTGCGGACCCTCGCGGGTACCTGCGCGGCCGCCACCATGTCTCAAGAAGGTGTGGAGGTAGGAGATGACTACGACTGGACCGGGGCCCCGGAAGAGATGCTAGGGAGGGGCAGGGGCCCCGAAGGGGGCTTCACAGTTCCTGGGTACTCCATCCGCAGCTCAGACCTTGCCCTAGTGGCGCCTGACTCCCGCTCAGGAAGGAGAGTGACTGCCACCCGCGCCTGAGCAAAATGCGGCCTCCTCGACCAAAAGCGGGGGCTGCACTGTCAAGGGTCAGAGGCCAGGGGTTACCTGGCCGGCCTCCTCCCGAGCCTGGGACGCTCGCCCCAGTCCACCCTCCCCCAGAGCCCGGTGGGGACTTTGGCTTTTTCCAGGAAATGCCTTGGAGAGATGGAGGAGGGAGGTGCTGAGGCCAAAACCAAGGGTCAAGTTTGGGCGGAGAGGAGAAAGACTAGAGATGGGGGAGGGGCAGTCGCTCTTCTTCTTACACATTCGGAGCCCACCTGTCCCCTCCATCCCCCAGCTGGAGAAGAGTGTCAGGCGCCTCCGGGAGAAGTTTCATGGGAAGGTCTCCTCCAGGAAGGCGGGGACTCTGATGAGGAAATTTGGCAGCGACCACACTGGAGTGGGCCGCTCCATCGTGTATGGTGAGCGGACAGGCGGGCTGGGGTCCCGGTTCTGGTGGGGGTTCAGCGCAAGGGGAGCGTGGTCGGTGAGAAAGGCAGAAAGGGGCGTTGAGATCCTCTCTTGGTCTATATTGGGGCTCTGGGAACCTGAAATTCCCACAAGATCCTTCAAAGGCCCTTCACTTACACTTACTCTCCCTACCAGGGGTAAAGCAGAAAGACGGACAGGACCTGAGTAATGACCTGGATGCCCAGGTAAACTGCCCCCTCTCCTCAAAGGACAAGGTAACTTGGGGAGGGAGAACAGTGCGCGTCCATCCACAGTGAGCCCCCTCAGTGCACTGCCAGTCCATAACTCCTGGTCCAGCCACATTTCTTCACTTCTCAGCCAGGGAGCTTGCAAACAGTAGGTGTTCATTACATGCGGACGGTGTTAAATGGGGGAGAGAGACATGAAACAAACCAGTGACACCAGCCAGAATTAATGTCATCATAGAGGATCCCTGGAGGTCAGAGAAAGCTTCCTAGAGGATGTGTTGCCAACTCGCTGGAAAAGAGTGATCGCTGGGAATGGAGGTGTCAGAAAGGGTCTCCTAGAAGAGAGAAGGGTGTGAGCAAAGGAACACAGTCTGGGGTGAGCAGCAGATGAGGAAGAGAGGGGGGCAGGGAAGCTCAAGTGCTAAATGGATGGATGGATGAAAGGCTTTGAGACACAGAACGTCATGGCCACATTGCCCTCTGCATGGCTTTGGTGGCTGATGCACTGTGGATTTTGCTGTCTTGAAAGGCCTAGCATTGAGTTGTTAAAGACTATAATAAAATATGTATTATACTCTTTACATTTATACATTTACATCAATACCTATAAGGAATATTGTAAAATAATAGCCAAGAGGAGCATCGATGGAGCATTGCCCTTGCAGCAGGACTCCAGGAATTCTACCTGTTGACTCATTTCACTGCCACAGTGGCCCCATGAAACAGGTCCTATTATTTATCACCTCATTTTACAGATGAGGAAACCGAGACACAGAGTGAGGAAGTCACTGGCCAGGATTATGCAGCATCCAGGAGGCCATTAGGACGTGAACCCTAGCCACACAGAGTCAGAGCCTGGACTCTGAGATGCCCCTCATTAGGAACCCAGGGTGGGGGGGGGTTTGGCCACATTCCCACAGCTGGAAGTAATGGGTGGGGGGCAGGGGGGGCAGGCAACAAACTTGCTTCTGTCTGAACCCAGAGCTGGAACACATAACCTAAAGCAGCATGATCTCATAGAGTCAACATCTCAATGCCGACAAGCATATGATGTTTGCAAACAGGATGGGAGTATGAGGTCCAGACCTGCCTCACCACACTCACTGAGGGTGATCTCAGGCAAGCCCTCCGCTGGCTCTGGGCCTCAATTTCCCCATCTCAGCAGTGGGGATAACAAGTGGGCCCACCTCCCAGAACTGCTATAAGGGTAACTGAGTGAGTGCTACTCAGTCAGCTCCCTGTGAGTTAGGAACACTCTGCTCTTATATGGGGTCAAGATCCCTCCCCCAACAAATAAGGTAAAAAGAGGCCTGAGCTGAATCCTCAGCCTCTGCCCCTGGTGTCTCCACCCAGGACCCACCAGAGGACATGAAGCAGGACCAGGACATCCAGGTGAGTCTAAGACATGGGCATGGGGAGGTGGAGCAGGGAGGCCACCCATGGGGGAGAGGTATGCCTGTCAGAGAGTAGCGCTGACAAGTGTTTATTAGGGGGGAGGGGAGTGACCACACTGTAATGCCCACTGGCCCAATTCAACAGGCAGTGGCAACCTCCCTCCTCCCGCTGACGGAAGCCAACCTGCGCATGTTCCAACGTGCCCAGGAAGACCTCATCCCTGCCGTGGACCGGCAGTTCGCCTGCTCCTCCTGTGACCATGTCTGGTGGCGCCGGGTGCCTCAGCGGAAGGAGGTGATCACTCATCCCCTGACCTCGATTCTCCCAACTGCCCTAAACTCCACTCCCAACCCCCACCCTCAGTGTCTGAAGCTCTGATTTAAGCCTCTGGGAGCTCAACCTCGATCTCAGACCCCAACTCCCCCCCTGAGCTGGATGTCTGACCTTAAACTTGAGGAGCTCAACCCTAACCCCAGAGCTGGACTTCCGATTCCACAGTTTGACAGCTACCTCAGAAATCAAACCTGACCCTGAAACCACAACCCCAAATCTGACTCCTGGACCCACTGACCATTGGTGGGCTTGTGGTATGTGCTTAAGAACCAGCTCTTGCAGCATGAGAGGGACCCCAGATTTGTAGTGTTTACCGATTTGCATGGTGTAAATATTCCCACTATGGCCAATAATCAAGCTACCAGAGCTCCCCTTTGACAGGGAGCCTGTTCCCTTTTCCACACCCGCAGGTGTCCCGGTGTAGGAAATGCCGGAAGCGCTATGAGCCAGTGCCATGTGACAAGATGTGGGGCGTGGCTGAGTTCCACTGTCCAAAGTGCCGGCACAACTTTCGGTGAGGCACCCCTTAGCCCTGCCCTCCCTGCTCTGGCCCCAGCCTCAGCCTCACCCTCAGACCCTCACGGCCCTGCCTGCCCCCAGGGGCTGGGCACAGATGGGGTCCCCATCCCCTTGCTATGGATGTGGCTTTCCGGTGTATCCGACACGGATCCTCCCTCCGCGCTGGGACCGGGACACAGGGCACCGCAGCACCCACACCCACTCCTGCTCAGCTGCTGACTGCTACAACCGGCGAGGTAAGGGCCTGGCGTGTGCCCTGTGGCCTCCCCCACTCTGGGCAGTCTATTTGGCCTCGATTCAGCAACCTCTGGGGTTTTAAGCACCGAGGTCTCAGTCCCTGTGGCCACTTCCCACAGCCTGGCATTGGCCCCTCCTTCCATGTCTTCTGTGCCCCACCCCAGCCTCTCTGGCCTTCAGTACTACCTCCCACAGCATCAGCCACCTTCCGTGGTCTTGCCCGTGAGCTTCTGTAATTTTCCTCAGTGGCTGATACCCCAGTGGCCCATGGCCTCTGCCTCTGTGGTCTCTGTATTCTTGGTTCCTGTTCTGTCTCCTGGAGTCTCAGGCGATACCCATGTCCGTGGGTCTCCTGTGACTTTGACACCTATGACTTTCAACTCGGAACTTCCTGTAGCTCTGAGCCTATAGCCTCAGCCTCTCCCCTTCCCAGATCCCCCATGGCCTCAGACCCCTTACCCCCAGAGTCTCATATGACCTCAAGCCCTGGACCTCAGAACCCCTCCCTTCCCAGAGCCCCACGTGCCTGGGACATCCTGTGCACACCCCAAGAGCCGGAAGCAAAACCACCTGCCCAAAGTCCTGCACCCCAGCAACCCCCACATCAGCAGTGGCTCCACTGTGGCCACCTGCCTGAGCCAGGGGGGCCTCCTAGAACACCTGGACAACCTCATCCTGGAGGACCTGAAGGAAGAAGAGGAGGAGGAGGAGGAGGAGGAGGAGGGCGGGCACGGGGAGTGACCCCTGCCAGGTGCAGATGCGAACCAGACACAGTGTGTGGATATTTTGTGTTGTTATAAAATATGAGCTCAAACTGAGATCTAAGTGCCCTTGGGGAGCCACCTGGGTCGGAGATGCTGGCAGGGGGATTCCTGGGTCCTGTTTTCAGGGTCCTGGGGGGCAGATCCACAGTGGGAAGGTCTGTGGGACATGGCTCACACTGAACCACGAGATGTGGCCAGGACAACTTGGGCTCCTGGTGACAAACATCCCCTGGAACGTGGGGGACAGATGGACAGATGATCACAAACTCAGGGGCCGGATCAGCATGGCAGCCTTCTTGAGAGAGTAAGCCCCTCCACGAAACTCAGCCCAATAGACGCCATCCTGGTAGCGGTTACGGTAGTGGCCACCACGGTGCCACACACCATTGAGGTTGGAGTGGGCACAGGCATGGTACCACCAGCCTCCCCGATGGTACAGGGCGCAGTTACCTATAAGGGGAGAGAGAGTCCATGTCCTCTTACCAGAATAATAGTATCTACCAGTATCTCACTAGTGCAAGGCTTTTAGCCAGGCATCCCTTGGCCCTCCACTTCTTCAAAGTAATGGCCTTAATTCCTTCCCTATCCCCTTACCAAAGTACAAGTCACACTTTTCCCACCCTTTTCTGCAACCTAGGATCTCTACCTCATTCCTTTGGGGGGAGGGCGGGGAGCAGAATCTCCACTTCCTTTCTAGAATAAGAGTTTTAGCTCTGACAGAGCCCTTCATGCATCCCAGGAGAACAAGAGTCCTGACACTTAACTATTGCCTCATCAGAGAATGAATCTGAGCTCCCCAGCCCTTCACCGGAATAAAAGTCCTATGCCCTGTTCTCTTGCGTACCCTGATCCTTACCAGAGAGAAATCTTACCACCTTCCATTCTCACTAGAAGTCCCACCACCCCACCCCACACCGGAATAAGAGCTGCTTACCAGAATAGGAATCTCGGTCCCTATCCACGGTGCTGAAAGGCTTATCACTGTGCCAGGAAAGAGAGTCTCCAGCATCTCCATGGTACTGGCCAAGCCGTAGGCGGTAGTGGTCCCTCTCAGGCTCCAGGGAGAAACCATCATAGTGGGCACGGGCACCACGGCCCCCCCAGTCCTCCAGGAGCACCAGTAGCTCATGGTCCCTGTGGCTGGTCAGCTGATGTACTGGTTCAAGGCCTAGCCAGTATTCCCCATCAGGCTGCCCAAAGCCCACCTGGCAGGGCAGGAAAGTCGGAAAGTGAGAAGCAGGTCCCCTCCTCTGCCCAGCCCTGCCCCCTACCTAGCTGTGCCCACCTTGTAGTCCTGCCAGGTAGTGAAGAAGTTGACTGAGCCATCTTGCCGCCTCTGAATCACAGTCCAGCCTCCACCCTCCAGCTGTTGCTCACACCAAGCTGACACCATACGCCGGCCCAGTCGCAGTTCATACACTCCGCTCTGCCCATGGCCTGCCTGGTGCGCCTCTGCACAATCTTGCCATGGGCCTGTGGGCACAGACATGTGAGTTAAGTACAGCCTAGACCAACCTACCCCTTATTAGAGTAAGAGTCCTAGTTTTCACTGGTTCCCCTTACCAGAATAACAGTCCTGCCTCTCCCATTGTCATCAAAATTAAGTACTCCAGTACCAATTTCTTTGGAAGTCACTCTTCTCTCACTACAGCACATGTGGATCCTGGAGTTTTTAAATCCTGGTTATGTGGTCTCACCAGAATAAAAGTCCTGAACATGGTACTCTAAACCAGCTGAAATTCTCACCAAAGTAGCAATCTTAAACTCCCTGATCCCCCATCAAAATAAAAGTACCTCTCCTATTTTCATACCATAGTAAAAATTTTGGCCTTTATCAGAGTAAAAGCCATAGACCCTTGTACCATCACCATATTAACAGTATTACTTCCTCCAGTCCTCTCGCTGTGGGAGGAATATGCCATTAGAATCCTGATTCTAATTTCCCTCTGCTCATGCTACACTGGAAGTCCCCTGGCTCCTCACCCCCCCCAACAGCCCCACCCTCATCTTACCCATTGGCTTGGTAGGGAGAGCAGGATGCCCTGCAGGCACGGGGGAGGCCGAGGGACCCTGCTGCCTCAGGATCTGGTCTCTCTGGGACTCTGGAGCTGGGTCTAAGCTGCTGGTGTCATTGGTGCTACCCACCAGACTGACTGGAACCACAGGCACCAGGGGCGGTGGCAAAACCTGGGTGACAAGAGAATCAGATGTGATTTCGTTAACCATCACCCCAGGCTACTTTCGGCTGCTCAACCTCTCAGCGCCCAGGTGGGCAGGAGACCAGGCAAAGACATGGGCTGATCCTCCCCAAAACCCTAACTCTAGCTGCCAAGGACAGACAGCTGAGCTTAAATTCCTGTTCTGATGTGCACAACTTAACCAATCTGGGCCTCCAACTCCTTTAAAGTAAGAATAATGATATGAGTGGCTCCAACAATGAGTATTAGCTTACTGAGTGCTCCTGACAACTCTGTGAGTTAGGGACTGTCCCAGAGTCACACGTTCCAGAATTCGGAATACTATGCCGGAGTTAGAATCAGTAATACAGGGTCTATGTCATATATCATAACACTTCCATAACAGGGCTCTTTGGTCTTTATCCACACAATATGCTTGATTACAAGATTCTAAGAATATTCATATGAAGTGGGTAAGTAAAGATTTTAAGTAGCCACCGTTGAGTTTTAGGAGACCCAGATGAATTATAGGAGAGGCAGGAATGTGGGTTTCAGAACTTTGCGGATTTTGGAATACAGATAAGACCATTGGGTTGCAGGAGGCCCATCTTACATACAGTGCACACAGGCTGCGATTCTGAAGGTACAACGGAGGTTACCTGCTGTTGCCCGCCCGCGCCGCCCGGACACAGGCGCTCCAGACGGGCAATAAGGCTACTCTGACGGCTAACTAGCTGCGCCAGCTCTCGGAACTTGACATCCAGCTGATGAAAGCGGATGGCTGCTCGCTGTGCTTCGGCCGACGCGTTGAGCACGCGCTCCCCGAGCAGTTCCAGCGCAGCAGCGGGCTCGGCCCTCGGACCTGGCCACTCCCCCGGGCCCGCCTCGTGTTGCAGCTGCGTCTGCAGCTGGCCTAGGCGCGTGCTCAGGCTGCGGCTCTCCTTGCGCAGCGCGCGCACCTCGCCGGCCACTGCGCCGTCAGCCGCCGCCAACCGCTGGAGTTCCTGCAGCAGCTCCTCGTGGCGGCCTACACGCACGCGCAGCGCTGCAACTTCGCTGGCATTCACGGCCTCCGGCGCTGGGCGCGCCACAGTCGGTCCGCTCCAACACACTGCGCCTGTGAACTTCTGCTGGGGTAACACGAAGGTGTAGGTGCAGCGCGGGGCGCCCGCCCGCGCCCACGAAACGCCCAGCAGAAGCAGCAGCTGCAGCGTGTGCAGACCTGGTACCCACATGCCGGACCTGCAGGCAGAGGACGAACGGGAGGGAGAGGAGGGCCGGGGAATCCAGACTAGACCGCCGACTCTCAGGCCGAACCAAACCCAGTTGCGCCCAATGCGCGTGTTTACACCATGTGGCTCCAGGACCACCCACACCCATCACTATACTTCCCCCCACCCCCAAGCCTGAAGGCAACCCTGTGGAATCCTGCCCAAGGCTTTCCACTGAGCTCCAGGCACCCTGCCGGACAGAACTCAACTCAACAAGCCTTCCCTGAGTGCCTACTGTGTGCCGGTCTCATTTCTAGGCGTTGGGAATACTGTCAGAAACAAAATCTCTGCCCTGCTGCGCAAGGAACAAAATAAAGTATGAGATTAATAAAATGTTTTAGATGGTGCTAGGAGAGACACGGGGATCTATACAGTGGCAATTTAAGAGGAGAGGAAGACCTCCTGGAGGATGTGACGTTTGACTGAAGACCTGAAAGGGGAAAGGAGAAAGACATGGGGATGTCTGGCGTGGAGAAGAGAAGCTCTTGCGGGGGAACAACATGTGCAGCATGAGGCTAAATCATGCTGATGTATTTTTTGGGGAAAAAAAAAACCACCTCGGGAGGCTGGAGCAGAAACAGGGGAAGCGTGGGAGGGAGGGAGGGAGGGAGGGTGAGGGGCAAGTCTCAGTCTAGTAGTGGACGGACCATCTCCCATGTCCTCAGATCAAAACATAACCCCCCAGTACCCACGTGCTCCAGGTCTGCTGTGTCCCCCCAGGTGTTACCCAACTTACACAGGTGACCTCCAAGCGTCCTCACTCAAGGATGTGTACTCTGGCCATCTACACCTGACCCTGTAGGACCCTCACAGGGGCTCCCATTGCCTTCACACGTGGGGGTCACCGCCTCTCCGAGGAGGACACGCACACCTCCCATATGCACTTGCTGACACTCAGAACACTTAGCGCGGCTCCACAGGCCGACCCCATCTGCACCAAGTCCCACCACGTCCTAACCCACACGTCCTGGTGGCCACACAGGCACGTGTCCCATGGTCTTTATCATCACATACATCTCCCTTTCACACATTCAACAAACACTCCTTGGGTGCCTATTGTGTGCCAGGAGCTGTTCCAGGCTATGAGGAGACAGCCATGACCAACACAGACAAAATCCTGCCTTCATAAAGTTGACATCCTGGTTGGGACAATGGATGGCAGGTAGGTCAGGGTGATAAGTGCATAGGAGAAACCTCAAGTAGGGAAAGGGATAGGAATCCTGGGCTGGGAGGGGCATTTTAAATAGAGAGTTAAGGCCTGGTATAGGTCAGTGGACTGAGCACTGGCTTGTGAACCGAAGCATCACTGGTTCGATTCCCAGTCAGGGCACATACCTGGGTTGCAGGCCAGGTCCCCAACTGGGGGCATGCGAGAGGCAACCACACATTGATGTGTGTGGTTCCCTCTCTTTCTCCTTCCCTTCCCTTCTTTCTTAAATAAATTCTTTAAAAATAATAATAATAATAATAATAATAATAATAATAAAGAGAAGATGACACTCGAATGAGGACCTGAAGGAAAAGAGAGAAAGGGAAGGACATTCAGGCAGAGGGAATAGCAAGTGCAAAAGCCCTGAGGTGGGAGCTTGCTTCATGTGCCCAAGGAATAGCAGAGAGGCCTGTGCGGCTGGAACAGTGAGTGAAGAGGTAGCGGTAGGAAGGTGAGGCCACAAAGTGTGCAGGGCCCTGAGAGGCTCAAGGAGGACTTGGGCTTTACCCTGGCTCATGTGGGAGCCAGGAGGGGTTCTGAGCTGGAAAAAGACACATTCATGACTGAACTCACACATCACACAGGAGCTCCCAAGGGCAGAGGGGGGTCCTCTCCTTGCCCCCAAAACACCAGGCCCTCCACAACAACAATGGACTACATCCCCTGGAGCTAGAATATGTAACATCCACTGCCTACCAGGATCTCAGTCTGAGGTAAGGAAGAGGTCTGGGAAGCCCCCCAGCCAAGCAGAAGCCCAGGTATGTCGATAGACAGAATCAGCCTCCACCTGCCCTCTCACCTCTCGCCACCAAGATGCTGAATCCAGCGAGGAGGCCCGTAGCAGGTACAGAAGTCAGAGGAAAAGCCAAGGGTCTAGTCCAGCAGGGACCTCTGAGCTGGGGAAGGGAAGAGCCGGTGGGAGAGCAGGAGGGAGGAGACTTGGTAACCCCCCAGCCCGCTGAATCTCCGGAGCCTGGGACTAGAGCTGTGATGCTGAGCCCAGGAGCTCCAACTGTAAATATTTAGCCTTTCCCGCATGAGAACTGAAGCCAAATTGCCAGACACCCTTGCCTAGGCCACCAGAGCCTGATAACACAGGTCAGTGCCCTGGACATTCCCCCCATAGCAGAGCATAGAGCGTGGGAGGCTGCAGGCCCCAGGAAGCCAGGGAGGTCCAGCGTCAGACACAGACATATGCACATGCACAGAAAAGGACAATCACCAACATCACCAGTGGCATCTGCTGTGTGCCAGCCACGACTCTCAGCTCTTTACACCTTTTATCTCATATAATCCTCGCAAACCTAGCTGGCTTCTGTGTGTAGCCTCACTTTGCAGCAGGGAAAACTGAGCCTCAGAGAGGGCAAGTGACTTGCTCATGGTGCCACAGCCCAAAAGAGTCAACAGTGGGATTTGGTCCGGGTAGCTTGTCCAAAACTGGCACGTGTATATCCTGTAACAGTCACACACACCCACGTGCACACAACAATGCAGTACAAAGACATGCAGACACCCAACAACACATGCTAATTGCTGCACAAAGCAGCAGATACACAGATGTGATCTGTGTGTGTGTGTTTGCCTGGTATGGGTATACACAGATTCCTTTGGCCAAAAACACAGTTGGAAACACAACTCAGATTCAGGCAGCAGTTGTGTGTTCAAAATGTGGTCACACACAGACATACACATCATGACTTAAAGGAAAACACAGTGAGACTGTGATACTCCCCTCCGCCATAGTGTGCATGTTTTCATTTGTCTACCACACACACCATCACATCTTCACACTAGGCAAGTCATGCAGGGACAGAAAGAGGCAAAAGTAACCATACAGCCATTTCTCAGGGGTACAAAGAAACTCATGCAGAGCCCCAGAGCACAGGTCTGAGCTCTCCAACCTGTGCAAAGGCCTTGCTCGCCAACCAGCAGACCAGCAGCCTTCTTCCCCAGTTCCTACCGTCCTGAACTCGTAATCCAAGTGGACTCCTGGGCTGTAAGAGGAAATGGTCCTTCCAGATCTGAGAGAGGCTGCCAGGCTGGGCCCCTTGTCCCCCCACCCGCAGCCCCCTCCAGCTTCCCTTATTGGCAGCAGAGAGAGAAAAACCTAAGTCACAGAAAGGCTGACAGAAAGGAGAGTCCGAGAGACAGACAGAAGGAGAGAGAGAAGGGGAGAGACGTGGGAGAAATGGGGAGAGATAGGGGGTTGGAAGAGAGAGAATGTGAGAGAAGGGGGTAGGGAGAGAGAGAATGGAAGAGAAGAGAAGGGGAGGAGAGGGGAGGGGGGAGGGGAGGGAAGGGAGGGAGGGAGGGGAGGGGAGGGGAGAAAGATGGGAACTTAGAAGTTATGAAAGAGACAATTGACAGCAGAAACAAAGTTGGGGGAGAGGAAGATGGACAGGGAGAAGAAGACAGAGTGAAGGAAGAATTGGGGAGGGGAGAGAGACAAAGAAGGGAGGCAGATGGAGGAGGGAAAGCAAGTGGGACAGGAAAAGAAATTTTGGGGGTTGTCCCCTCCCCCACCAGAAGGTTCTGGGGAAGAAGCCAGAGGCCTGAAGCCAAGACTGGGGCTTTGAGCAAAAACCGGGAGGGGATGAATTTTTCAGCATGGCCCACATCCCCCTGAGTTTCCAGAAGGTGATGTGGAGTTTCCACGCTTAGCCTGACCGCAGTCAGGGCCCCCTGAAGAGGACAGCTAGCCCTCAGAAGCTGGGGGCCCAAATGAGTAAACCGGGGACCCATATGAGTAACCGGCCACGATGCTACCCCCTTCTCTGGTTGCTTCCCAAGTATCTGGCACTAGTGTGCCACGCACTGTGCATACATCCTCTCTCTTTATTCACAGATCAGGCCAAGGATTAAAGGACTATCATATTTACTTTAGGGGTGTGGAAATTGGCTCTCAAAATCGCACCACTGGCGGAAATGGTCGAGGCGGGATTCGAACCCCCCTTCCTTTCTCAGAGCTGTCACAGGCTCCCTGAGAGACGCGGATCCAGCCCGTTTCCGTAGAAACAGGCACCCGGTGTCTCTATAGCAATAGAGGCAATGGTTTCTTAAAGTTTTTATTTATTGATTTCAGAGAATCATCGATTTGTGGTTTCACCAATTTATGCGTTTATTGCTTGTGCCCCGACCGGGGATCGAACCCTCAGTTTTGGCGTTTTGGTGCAAAGTCCATATGACTGAATGACTAGGACCTGATTTTTTTTTTTTTTTTTTTTTTAATTTGTTATTTCTTCCCCCGTGTCCACCCGTTTCGCTGTCTGGTGCGTTTGCCCAACTGGTGACGTCACCACGTAGCGACGCCACGGGCGAGTGCCTCTCCGGTGCCGGATGTGAGCAGAAAGGTTCCGGAAGCGGCCGGCAGAAAGGGCTCGTGGACTAGACGGCAGCATGCGGCAGTCCGGGCGGGTGAGGTGCGGCGGTCGGGGAGGTGGGCGGTGCGGGCGGCTGGCCGCTGGGGGCCGCAGAGCTCACCGCTCGCCTTTCACTCCCGTAGTCCCGGTACCAGAAGCGGGCGCGCGCCCAGGCTCAACAGCGCAACCTCGAGGCCTATGCCGCGCAGCCTCATTCGTTCGTGTTCGCCCGCGGCCGTGCGGGTCGCGGCGTGCGGCAGCTCAGCCTGGACCTACGGCGGGTCATGGAGCCGCTCACCGCCACTCGCCTGCAGGTCTGCACCCGCCCCCCCAGCCCACCTCCACCTGCCCTGCCTGGGTCGCGTCTTCGAGGCTGCGGGAGTAGCTTCAACCGCGCGGGGTCTCATTCTACTTGGTCGGAGAAAGGGACCCTTATGGGGACTACCGTGCTGCTGTTTGGAGCTTTGCAGGGCAGCAGCGAGGGCGCGCGGGTGAAGGGCTTGGCTGGTGCCTGGGACTGGTGATTACAAGGGGACTCGAATCAGCTAACCTGGGTTGGAAACTTGACTTCCCTCAAAGGTCTAAAGCAGAGTTGTCAAACTCATTTTCACCAGTGGCCACATCAGCCTCGTGGTTGCCTTTTAAGGGCCAAACGTAATTTCAACTCCTTAACGGTTAAGCAGTAGTTACATCTATACAGTCCTAAAATTACTTTGGCCCTTCGAAGGCAACTGCGAGGCTGTTGTGGCCCTCGGTGAAAACTAGTTCAACGCCCCTGGTAGAGCAAGTTAGGTAACTTTGCTGGGCTTCAGTTGGCTCATCTGCAAAATGGGGCGATGCATACAGTAGACAAGGAACAAAGGCGGTAGTAAAACTAACGTCTGATGAGCTGTAGAGATCAAGAGTATTCTGCTACCCTCTCACCCCCTTCTCCGAAAGGATAGATGCGAGAAAGGGCATAACAGTTTAAATTTAGAACCTTTGCTCAAAAGGAGCGTGTCTTTAATCATTTCTCTTTCTTTATAATACCAGATACGAAAGAAAAATTCTCTGAAGGATTGTGTGGCAGTGGCTGGGCCTCTTGGGGTCACTCATTTCCTGATACTGAGCAAAACAGAGACTAATATCTACTTTGTGAGTGGATGCCTGCACCCATCTTCCCCATACCCTCCTTCTCCCCCAACTCTCTTGATGAACCCATGTGCCTCTGAGTTGCCATGATTCTGGCTTCAAAGTAAACGCTCTGAAGAGATGGGGCAAAGGTTCTCACTGCCCCTGCTCTCTACATGGACGCCTCAACCCTCATTTTGATCTTTTCTTCTATAGAAGCTGATGCGCCTCCCAGGAGGCCCCACTTTGACCTTCCGGATCAATAAGGTAAGGCTGGGAGGTAGTGTGAGGACCATGTGGGGTAGGAGCTGGCGCCAGCCATGTGTGGTTGGTGGTCACCCACTCCTCACCCTGCCCTGCAGTACACACTGGTTCGTGACGTGGTCTCTTCTCTGCGCCGCCACCGCATGCACGAGCAGCAGTTCACTCACCCTCCCCTCCTGGTGCTCAACAGCTTCGGCCCCCATGGCATGCACGTGAAGCTTATGGCCACTATGTTCCAGAACCTGTTTCCCTCCATCAACGTACACCAGGTGGGCAGGGCCTGGTGTGGTGGCAGGTGTGGGTGCACGAGGCAGGTAGCAGGTACCACACAGGCCCTGGGGTTGATGGCTCAGACCTCACTTCCTAGCACTGGGGTGGGGAGCTCCAGCTCCCAAGGCCAAATCTCACATGTGTGAGCTGGGGCAAGAGGCTACCCGTGTGCTGTGCTGCCTTTCCATCTGGCAGGTGGGTCGTGCCTGTGGTGCTGTATTGAGTGCTGGTTTAAGCAGTGCAGTTTGTGTTGTCATGGCCCCAACCTAGGAGGGACGCTGAGGCGGACGGGTGAAGTTGATAGTCTGAGGTTAGATATAAGGCAACAGCTCCTAATTTCTGGTACCAGCAGGTCCCACATTCGTCTTGTTGGTTGTGATCACCAGGGAGTCCAGAGTGGGTGGCCTTGGTGGGTGCTGGAACCAGGATTTCTAGCCGGCAGTCCATGGACATCACTTGCAGCCCCATCGGTCCCTGCAGGAATTGGCTTGGGCTCTCGCACATAGTGATGCCTGAAGGCAGCTGACATGATACTGTGCCCTCATCGTCTCCTTTCCAGGTGAATCTGAATACCATCAAGCGCTGTCTTCTCATCAGCTACAACCCTGACTCCCAGGATCTGGATTTCCGCCACTAGTGAGTGGGGAGGATGGGCCAGGGTGGGGGGCTGCTCTGTGTGTGGCTGATGACAGTGCTGCTGCTGAGACTCAGTGATTGCCCAGTCTCAAAGTAAACGCCCTGACGCACCGTGAAAAGGGGAGAAGGTAGGGCTGGTCTCCAACCCTGTGGCCCCTAACCCCCTCCTCACTCACTCTGGCCCCCGCAGTAGCATCAAAGTTGTGCCTGTGGGTGCAAGTCGTGGTATGAAGAAACTTCTCCAAGAGAAGTTCCCCAACATGAGCCGCCTGCAGGACATCAGCGAGCTGCTGGCCACGTGAGGAAGGGGCGAGGTGGGAGGCTACCACAGTCCAAGGGGTCCCAGAACTGTCCCAGGAGTCTGGGATTCTCTGCTGAGCTATGTGTTCCCAGCACAGGGGCGCAGGGCTGTCCGAGAGTGAGGCAGAGCCCGACGGCGAACACAACATCACAGAGCTGCCCCAGGCTGTCGCAGGGCGCGGCAACATGCGGGCCCAGCAGAGTGCTGTGAGGCTTACCGAGGTGAGGCCCAGTGGCTGATGGGATTTCTTCTGGCATCGTTCAGCCCTAAGGAAGGACTGACTTTTGCTTTGTGTCCCTCCAGATTGGGCCTCGGATGACGCTGCAGCTTATCAAGATCCAGGAGGGCGTCGGGGAGGGGAATGTGCTCTTTCATAGTTTCGGTGAGGACAGGGCTGGCAGGCATAGGGCTGGGGTCTGAGGCCCTTCCAAGGTGGGTTGTTAGGTGCGCTGGGCACCCCTGGTACTTGGTGAAAATCTTGAACCATCTCTTCTAAGTGCACAAGACAGAGGAGGAACTACAGGCCATACTAGCAGCCAAGGAAGAAAAGCTGCGGCTCAAGGCCCAGAGGCAGGCCCAGCAGGCCCAGAATGTCCAGCGTAAACAGGAACGACGAGAGGCCCACAGGTGTGTGGTCAGTGGGTAAGGTATGTCCCTGCTGCGGGCTGCTGCACTGGTCAACGTCCCTCTCCTCCAGGAAGAAGAGCCTGGCAGGCATGAAGCGGGCTCGGGCAGAGGCTGATGGGGATAGTGATGCTGAGGACCCTGGGGCCCCCCCAGGGGCAGAGGTGGCTGGCCAGCAGGAGGAGGAGGATGAAGCTGAGTATTTCCGCCAGGCAGTGGGTGAAGAGCCTGATGAAGGTGTGTGGCAGGAATTGTTGCAGCCAGGTGTTATGAACCTGTCTCTGTGCCCTGGTGACCCTGACACAATCTCTCCTCACAGACATGTTCCCAAAGGCTCAGCGGCGATGGCCCACCGGGCCTCCAGGCAAGAAGCAGCGAGTAAAGCAGAGGAGGCCAGACCGTGGCAGTGACCAGAGGCCTCTAAAGACCAAGGGCAGGCCCTGGGGGGCCCGAGCCAAGCTAGGGCCTCAAGGGGCTGCTCAGGACTGTGGCCGAGGCCGAGCAAAGCCACCAAAGAGAGTGGCCTGAAGCCGAGTCTGAGCAGCTGATGGAATGTCCCAGATTGGGGCCCCTGAGATGCTGCCCTGGGCTCCTGCCTGGGTGTCCAGGTACAGCCCTGTTTCCTTTCATAAAGGAGGTGGTTCCCCAATCTCCACTCTAATAAACACTGATTTTCCATGAATCAGAGGCTGCATTTGCAATAGGGGCCTGGGGGCAGAGGGCCCAGCCAGGCTAATGGGCCCAGGGAGTTGGGCCTGGACATGTAGAATCTGAGGGCAGAGCTCAGATTTGATCCATCTTTGGTGCCTCTGGGTCCTAGGCCCCTCCCCAACCTCCCTCAGACTAAGGGCTCCCCTTCTAGCAGAAAGGCTAGATTTGGAGGGTGTCATGAGAAAGGAAATGGGCAGAAGGGTGGTTGGCGCCTGACTGAACCTGATTTGTTCTGCTCTGTGGGCTGTAGGTGGAGCTGCTGGGGGAGGGACCAAGACACGTCGTGGGTAGCATACTCAAGCGGAGCAAGGGACATGGCGGCCACCACCTCAGGTGAGGGGAGTGTGCAGCAGGTTTCTTGGGCTGAGCACACATCTAGGGCCCTGGACCTTGTGTAACTCAGCCTAGGACTTGGGGTTAGAGGGGCAGTGGGGGCAGGAGGATGGTTTAAGAATCATCTCTAAAAGGTAGCTTCCTCCCCGAGCCCTGGCGCCAAGAGCTGGGACAGGAAGGCAGAAGTGAAAGCACAGAAACAGTCTGTGGGGAGGGAGGGTCGGGGCACGTAGCACTGTGGATGGCCTGCTGGATCCACTGGGGAAGACGCATTCATTTCTCAAAAAGCTCAGGCTGAGCCGGGTGTGCGGGAATTAACTGCAGGGCTGGCTCTCCCCACACTGTACTGTCCCGTGTACTGTTGTGGACACTAGGGAACCTCAAGGCGGCACTCCCTTCAAAAGGGGCCTTTTCCTGGGGACTTTAAACAGCAATCACGTGGAGAAAGAGGCTCTTTTGAGAAAAAAGGGAAGTGGGCTGAGGCACAGTGGCAATGTTAGGGTGGCCAGAGCCAGAGGTGAGGGAGACAGCCTATGATTCAAGCAAAAAGAGTAGCCAGTGCAAAGTCCCGGAAGCAGGATGTGCCTAGGAACAGCCAGGAAGTGGGCTGTGGGACTCACTGAAAGCTGGAGAGGATGAAGGCAAGTGGAAGCAATGAGGCAAGCCCTGGCTTTCCCTTCTGATAGGAGGGAGCCCTAGGACAGGCTGAGCCAAGTGATACGACCTTAGGTGCTCACAGGCGCCCTCTGGAGGACATGGGGAGAATAGACATGAGGGGAGCTAGGAGGGCAGGGCCCAGGCAACCGCATATGTGGTGGGAGATGATGCGAGCTGGACACCAGTGGTGCTAATGGTGTGTCAGATTCTGAAGGAGGGGACTTGCTGATGGATTGGAGTTGGGAGAGTACAGTGGGGTCTGAGACTGTCTTGGGTTCCTGCTCGTCCACCCCAGGCCTGATGACTCTGTCATCACTGCCAGGTTACATGGGTCCTATGAGGGGAGCAGTCCTCCCTGGTTCTTGGCCCAACTGGTTCTTGAGTGTGCAGGACCCCAGAAGAGCCCGGTGTACTCTGGGTTTCTGGTGTTTATGGACCTGATTCCCTCTAAAAAGGAGCTGAAGCTGGTGCCCCTCCTGGGGGAGGACAGGACTCAGCAAAAATCCACAAAGGGGTTGTGCAGGCCTGGCACAAAGGCGCTCAGGACTGATGCCACGGTGCAGTGCAGCTCTGACCGCAGGAGCCACATTGCAGGACAGGCCTCACTTGGCAATACCCTTGGTTCACAGGTGCCCCACCTTGCCCAGACAACATCACAGCAGCTGCTGACCAAATCCTCGGTAGCTTCCAGGAAGTCTTTCTGTGGCCTATTCTGGTGATTGAGTTCCTGGTGGCCGTGGCTGGCAACAGCGTGGCCCTCTACCGCTTCAGCACACGGGAGCAGCGCCCATGGTCCCCAGCTGTGGTCTTCTCCACCCAGCTGGCTGTCAGCGACCTGCTCTACGCCCTGACACTACCCCCACTAGCTGCCTACTTCTACCCACCCAAACACTGGCGCTACGGGGAGGCTGCCTGCCGCCTGGAGCGTTTCCTATTCACCTGCAACCTGCTGGGCAGCGTCACCTTCGTCACGTGCATCAGCCTCAATCGTTACCTGGGTGTTGTCCACCCCTTCTTCACCCGCTCTCACCTGCAGCCCAAGCACGCCTGGATCCTAAGTGCCATTGGCTGGGTGCTAGTGGCTCTGCTGGCTGCTCCCACACTCAGCTTTTCTCACCTGACGACACCACAGCAGGAAGGTAACTGCACTGTGGCCAGGCCCAAGGCCTGCATCAAGTGCCTGGGGACTACGGGTGACAGCCAGCTTGAGGCCTACATAGCCTACAGCCTGGTACTGGGGGTACTGGGCTGTGGCCTGCCATTGCTGCTCACCCTAGCAGCCTACAGTGCCCTTGGACGAGCCATACTGGGTAGCCATGGCATGACAGCAGCTGAAAAGAAGCATGTGGCAGTACTTGTGGCCAGTGGTGTGGCACTCTACGCCAGCTCCTATGTGCCCTACTTCGTCACACGGGTAATCAATCTTTGGGCTCGGCAGCGCTGGAGAGCCCGCTGCCCAGCCTTTGTGGACGTGGCTCAGGCTGTGGAGGCATTAGACCTGGGGTCCTATGTGGGGCACCAGGTGACACGGGGTCTCGTGCCTCTGGCCATCTGCATCCACCCACTGCTCTACATGGCTGTAGTACCCAGTGTGGCCTGCCACTACCAGCAGTCCTGCCTTGGCTGCGGGGAGGGCCAGGCCCCAAAGAATGCTGAGAGCTGCAGCCAAGCCCTGCCCCTCACCATCCCAGGCACTAAAACCTCAGGGCCCCACCACCCTGAGCTGAGCCCATGACCTGGCCTATCTTGAGCCTCTTTCCGCCCACAAGGCACTGGGAACCAGCAGCAGAACGAGGGTGACAACACGGCAGGCCCCAAACCACCTCCCCAAAGAGAGGCCTGTCGCAGGAGCGGTGAGCACCCAGGCCAGAGCTACAAGAACTTCAGCCCACAGCACCAACCCTGAGCAGGGCCGGAGAGCAAGCCCCAGCAAGGGGAGGGCTGACCCCAACTGCCACAAAGTGGGTGACATTCACAAATAAACAGGATGCACAAAGGGTGACTGAGCCTTTTTATTGCCCTTGGCACGCCCTGCTTTGTGAGGCTGCCTTCTGTTGTGGTACAGCCAGGGGCCGGACAGCAGCAGCAGGGACCGCTGGCTTAGTTGGTGGATGGCCTAGAGAGGAAGACAGCAGTGATGAAGAGGGCAAGTGCTGGGGCTTCAGACCCCAACGGGAATCCCAAAACATCCCCACCCACACACACAACTGGGGCCTGTATAGGCCTGGGGCAGGGTACGTGCAGAGCCAGACCAGCAGTTACCAGCCAAGCCCTGCACGGCAGTGGCCCCTCCTCAAAATAAAGGACAATAAATGACCCGCATCTTAGAACAGGCCTGGTGATTATTCTGCTGGTATGGGGCCACTGTCAGCCCCAAGTGTCAGCCATGGCACAGTGATGGGCAGGAGAGGGGTCTTACTTGGCCCATTCAACGTTGAGGATGAGGTGGTCGTAGCCGAAGCCGGACACCCCAGCAATGGCACGGGCAGCATCCTCTCGACGATGGAAGCTGATGAAGGCAAAGCCCTGGAGAAGGGTGGGAAGGGGAGGAAGGGGGCATTCAGAGCAGAGCCAGACAGATAACCCCTCCCTGATCATGGCTGCCACGCCCACCTTGGACTGGCCAGTGGTCTTGTCCTTTGCCAAGTAGATACGGGAGATGGAGCCAAAGGGCCTGAAGAGCTCTTGCAAGTCGGTCTCACGAGTGTCCTCTGACAGGTTGGTGACACGGATGGTGGCATTGTCATCAGCTAGGCACCAGGCAAGGAGAAGCAGCTGTGAAGGGCCAGGCAGCTTGGGCCCTACCCACAGGATCACCACAGGGTGCTAAGAGGTGCGTGCCCACAGGCCAGCATCAGGGTGGTCCCACTGCCTCACCTCTGCGGTTGGGCTGCATGGACTCCCCACGGCGGCTGGCCCCGTCCCGCAGGCTTGGTGGCACGTACTTCCCTGTCTTGTTCTGGGCTGCCTGCACAGGCTCCAGCTCTGGAGACCGAAAGCAGTCGGGTCGGGCCTCAGCCTAGCCCAGCAGAGGTACAGCGCAACCCAGGATGCTGGTGTTTCCAGCCCCAACCCAGCCCAGGCACTATCTGTCAAAGCCACAGGCACCCAGCTGGTCCCTCAGAGACCTGGTGGCCACGATGACGTAAGGGCCACATCCAGGAAGCCAGCACTACACAGAGGAGAAGCCACAGGTGTTGACACAGTCTGAGGTGCCCAGAGGACTGAGAGCTAGAGGGACTCTGCCCAGCCAACACAGAGGAACACAAGCACACGAGGCAGGGACAGTCCTCTGGTCCCACGCACATGGCAGTTAACAAAAAGACTGCACCCAGGGTGAAATTCAGAGTTGTGTGAACTCAGTCACCAGCAGCAAATCACACTGAAGAACACAGACTGTAGACAGTCACTTGTGACTACTCAGAAGTATGCATGTGCATGCACAGAAACACAGGGTGGCAGCCGTGTCCATGCAGACAGACAGAGCACACTCACATCAGGACCATCACAAAATCAGCAGCAGAATCACAGCAGGCGAGTCTCACATACGGGGGCCCACCGTCTCCCAACCATGCACTGTGTAGTTCACACACAGGCATCCACATAAATGGTTCTCACAGACCCCAACAAGGGACAGGTGACATCACCAGCAGTCACAGCACCCACCTGACCAGTCTCTCTCACACACACAAAGACTGTGGCCACAGCCTTTGCAGTACTCATGCTGTAGTGTGCAAGATGGTAGCTGTGACGAGGACCACCGTTCACACAAAGCAGATGACAACCTAGGACTGTCAGTGGCACAGAGCCCCCCTCCATGACCTGCTAGCCACACCCCCAGGCCCCAGCACCTCCAGGCAGTTTCTCCTTCTCGCCAGTGGACAGGCCCAGCTGTTCAGCCAGCTCCTTTTGCATGGGCCCTAGCGTGTCCTTGTAGGGGCAGCGTGTGGTCCAGTGATCACCCTTGCAGATGCGGCAGGACACGATCTTCTGGCCCTTGAGCTTGTTCATCGGGTCCTCCTCCTCCTGGCAGTTCAGATCCTGGCAGGGCAGGCAGAAGCAGCTCAGAGGGGGACTACCACATATCCCCACCACCCTGGCCACCACCACCCTGCCCTACTGCCACACTTACCTCCTTGCTGGTGATAAAAGTCATGGACACATCATCACTGACTGTGGTGGTGGCCACATTGGGCCCTGGTGGGTCAAACTCTGAATTCCCAAACTTCTTCCAGTTCTGGGCTCCAGGGAGAGTGGGCAACAGGGCAGGGCAGGGGCACGTAAGCCCTCCCCTCTTCAGCCAAGACCTACACTAGCCCCTTCCAGGATGTCCTGGACATAAATCCCACTCCCCACCCTCTCCGCCACACACATAGTAGTAACAACAGCTCCTATTTCCTGAGTGCACACAAAGCACCAAGCCCTGGCGGCTCCAGGAGGCTAGGCAGCTCTGGGCCCCATGTTCTAGATGAGAGAACAGAGGCTCAGGGGGAAGCAGCTGCATGGCCAACAAGACCAGCTTCCACCAGGGAGCGATGCTCAGAAGTGTGCAGGGGTCACCGAGACCTCAAGGGGCCTCGGGCTAGTTGAACAACCTGAGCCTCAGCTTCACGCCCTTTAAAGTGGGGACCACACATGCTCTCCACCATCCTGTGCTGTTATGGGGATAAACTGAAAAAACTTCAACAAAACATATGGCATGGGGTCTGGCAAAAAGTATGCAGACAGCTGTGCCGAGTCTACTTATTGCTATGGCTCCTTGTGCTGTGACCACCTCAGGGGAGCACTTGACTCTGCTCCTCCTGGTAGACGAGCCAAGAATAATAAGAAACAACCTCATCCACTCCAGCACCCCAGACTTTTTGGGACCCCAACAAGGTGTACACACCCTCAACTGTCCTCCAACAAAATAGGTAAACCAGTTAAACCCCACTTCTGAAAATAGAGACACCGGGGAAAAGAATTCTCAATTCTTCTGATTCAACCCTCTGGACTGCCCCCACCCCCAAGGAAAGGGGAGCAGGGTCTCACCTTCCTCCTTGCAACAGCCTTTGAGGCCTTCCGGGTCTCAATTCTGAAGGTGCGGACAATCTGGGCATGGGAGAGAGGAGGACAGGTTTGGGTTTCCTGTGCCTCAGGCTACTGGGCCCAGGGGATCTTCCTCACCAACCCACCCAACACACACCACCCCCTCCTGGTCCAACTGCCCCCGCCTCCTCACCCAGCCTCACCTTGAACTTCTTGCCATCCTCATCTACCTTATATTCAGTCACTGTCTTGATGTTTCCATTGATGACCTCCTTGGGAGATGGAAGTGGACCTGGAATAGCAGGAGAGGTGAGAGGAACTGAGCCGCATGTAATAGGGACAGAAGGGAATATGGCTAGGAAAAGATGTAGCCTCTTCCTCAGGGACGGAGTGGAGGTTGTCACTCACCTCCTGGCAGTAGCTCAGGTTCTGGGCTGGTGTCGCCAGTGGCCAAAGGGATCCCCTTGAGAAGCTCGCTGGTGACACATTTGTCTGTCAGAGGGAGTGTGGGGAGAAGGGTGAGGTGGAGGGGCAGGAGTTCCTAAGCTGAAATGAAGGGACCTTTGGGATGATGCCATGCCAGGAGCTGAGGGAGGCAGGCCCAAGGCCAAAGGACTGACCAGGAAGTGCCCTGGGACAGCCGCGAGGGGACACCTGAAGTGGCTGTGATAACCCCGAGCAATGGCAAAGATAAGGGTGGCCTGGCACAAAGGCAGGAGGCAGACTGTTACAACGTCCTCCCCGGCAAAGGGGAGCGACTGCGAGAACTGGGGCGGACGCATGGGAGAAAGGGGCCGACCAGAGAACATGTGGAACCGGCGATAGCCTGACCCAGATGAGGATGGAGGGGGGCAGAGGCTACCCGGAGGGGAAATAAGGGGTCGGACGGCTTTTCCACGGTGGGGGCCTGGTGCAGGCGACAGTGACCGGGCTGGGCGCTGGCAGCGGTGACCCGGGGAGACCGGGAGTACTCACCGTCCTCTCCCTCTTCCTCCACCTGGTCGGCCCAGCTGGGCTTCGAACTGAGACAAGTTTGTAGAGGAAAAGCGTCGAGTCAGCGAAACCCTGCTTCCGCCACCTCTGCGAACCCACACCCATAATCACCCCTAGGACGTCCCCAAATCGCCTCCAGAACCCCGTTCCCAAGCCCTCAACTTACTCAAAGTCTCCAGTAGGCATTGCAAATCCTTCTCCACGCAGCCGGAGCCTAGCCAGAGACCGGAAGTAAGGGGAGACCGAGACTTCCGGTTCCTTGGCCTACAACAGCTCCATCCGGCGCACGCAGCGCCCCCTGCTGCCGGAGATGCCCGGAGTGGCTGGGCCCTGGTACCCAAGAGACGCACCTCAGGGCCTACCCCAGCACGTTAAAAATATGAAAAATAATATGTACACCCGATGTATCACCACCAAACCAGCATTACAAAAAAACATTAAGTGGACTTCCTTAAGAAGCAGAAAAAAAGATTAAAAATATTAATAATGAAATGGCAACAGCTCTGGCTGGGGTGGCCTGTAAACCAAAGAGTCACCTCCGGTTTCCTCTCCCTTCCCCTCTCTCTAAAAAATAATAAATAAATAAATAAATAAATAAATAAATAAATAAAAAAAATATATATATATATATATATATATATATATATTTTATATAGATATATCTATGTATATAGATATGTAGGTAAATATAGATATATAGATAAATATATCTACATATAGAGATAGATATATCTATCTATATATAGATGCAGATAGATATATCTGTATCTATATATATCTTTAAAAAAATAAAATGGCAATAGCCGTGGCTGGTGTGACTCAGTGGACTGAGTGCAAACCACAGAGTCGCAGGCCCAATTCCCAGTCAGGACACAAGCCTGAATTTCAGGCCCGGTCCCC